CTTGGTCTCTTCTTGGAAACGGGCTTGTAAACTGGCAACAGAAACTTCAACTTCGTCGCGGTAGGAAATGCGTAGTTGGAACTATGCAGAGGTTTCACAATGTTTCGGGTTTAGGGTACAGGATGGAGAGCCGGAAACAGCCTTGGCAACATTACTGAAGGGTCGTGCTTCGACGTTGGATATGGGTGCCTGTAAGCGTGAGTCTGCCATTCCGGAACCTGAAGATACAACTTGCCCATGAATGGTACCTTTCCTACCCATATCTCCCCATGCGGGTTTCCCAACATTCGGGGATATAAGCCTTTGGGGTCTATATCAAGGTCCCCCTATTTTGGGGAAACTACCAAGGTGTGCTGAACCATTGTCAACACCAGGCTTTCAACTTTCTTGCGCATGCCATGGCTTGAGGCTCAAGAGTAGCGCACCTTGCCGCTCTTGGTGCCAGAAACTTCCCCCCCCACCTGGGTGGTTGTCAAAATTATGGTCCCTTTTTGGATCCCCATTATAGTACGGCACCTAATATTTAGGGTACTCAAAAAGGGACCGTAATTTTGACAACCACCCACCTGTAAAGTAAAATGTGTTAAAAAGCCACAGAGGTCTTCCAAAGTGCCCAAGTGTAGCCCCCTCTCAGGACGAGACGCTGCAATTCATCCCCCGCTTTCCCACATCGATACTGCATATGACTGCCAGACGCTCGAAATCCGCAGGACTAGCACCACTGTATTTTTGTAGGGAATGTATCATGGCCTTCATATGCATGAGGCTCTACCAAGTGTCTACTACAGAGCTGCATCAAAACCACGCTCGATTTAGAGGTCCCCCGCGCATTTTCCTGCCATAAGGTTGCAAGACATTTTGCCACCCTACTTGTTGATGGATGTTGATTGTGCTGCCAGCTGCACCAGCCATTATAGTCCCCTCCCGTAGATAGAACATGGCTCTGGGTATATTACAATAAGATCCCCATATACCCCATATTCTATCTACTCAAGGAGAACTATACCCTAAACCCTAAATAATAGTTTCCATTTTCTTGTCCATTCTCCCTATATAACCCTCATATTCTACTTAAGGGGGACTACAAGTTAGCAAGGGCCATTCCCGTGTAGGGTTCCCGTGTAGGGTATTTTTCACCACCCCACACACAACCTAAGATCACAATATGGAAAAATCCTATTCACACTCTAGAACCCCAATACTCCTATCTACCTAGGTAAATTTTCTACGAAATTCCTTCACACTACGCGTGGTGTCATAGCCCAAAACGGGAATGCCCTTCACATATAATTTGGGTCAGGGGTTAGGGTTAAGGGTTAAGCAATCGCTTAATCTTCTCGGATTCTCCAAGAATGTTATAACTGTACTATATTTATAATATATAACTGCTTATGTATTATAATTACAGTATAGTATCACTGTATAAGAAGAATTAGCTTGTTTGTTCTGGTTTGTCATCAACAGGTATCTCAATAATTACTCTATCCTTGTGCTTTCCAAATATCATAAAATAGTTCTCCAGAAATAGATCATTCATCAGCAGCTGGTGAACGTGATCCAAAACTTCTTGAATTTCAGACTTCTTCTTCGCAATCTTAGTTTTCTTGTATTCATTTCTCTTCTCTCTGCATCTAATACAATTGTGCCAAGGTTGCCCCAATCTATTGAACCCGAACTCTTCGGCAGGTTTTTTACTGTGGCATCTTGTGCATTTGATTTTCTCCATCTTATTAATATTAATAACACTATCCCTTTACACTGTTTTTATCTAAACATTCAGGACAAGTCTTAATGTATGTAACATAATAATGAGAAGAATGCTTATTAGTGCAATAGCAACGCTTGAAACAATCAATGTCTTTGACTTGCTTACAACGATAACACTTCCTAGTAACTACATCAACTGTTTCAGTATATTTTTTTAAAAAAAAATCAACTGATATCTTATCTACTCTTACTGGAATAATATTTTCATATTACACACTTTTTCATAATGTGAAATTATGAAAACGTGCATACATAATTCCTTAAGGTTAACGAAACTCATTAAATTCGAACATTGATGGGGCTCTTACTTTTTCACTTGGGGTCAATGTTTGGGCAACACTTTCTGCCATAATTAGTTAGATTGTTTATTATACAGTTTTATGTATTGTAACACTATTTTAACAATTTCTAAGGAATTAATACAACATCGTTTGAGTTTGCTATCTTTAAGTACTACTTCCTGTATCTTTTGAATTTCACCTATGGTCTCAATCAATGTAAGTATTTATTATTTCATAATATATATATATATTATAATGGAAGATATCCCTACTGTAGAACCTATTGACATACCACAGT